CGGATTCCCTTGGGGGAAGGAAAAGGGTGAGGGAAGGACTATATAGAGCTAAGAGCAGGGAAAGTTTCCACGAAAAGTTTCCTCTCGTCTTATCAAGTCTCCCTGGCTCCTTTCCAGCCGACGGAGCACGTGCTATCCTTCCCCCTTCTCATCCTCTCTTCCGTTCTCTCTTCCTTTCTTTTTTTCTCCTTTTCTCTCTCTCTCTCTCTTTCTAGTCCTTAGGATTCTTTGTCCTCGAACTCGTAAATCCGCTAAGAAGAACAAGGATCCCTGCAAGTTCCCTTGTTCTTCCATTCTCTCTTTCTCTCTCTCTCTCTCTCTCTCTCTCTCTCTCTCTCTCTCTCTCTCTCTCTCTCTCTCTCTCTCTCTCTTACTCACTCACTCACTCACTCACTCACTCACTCACTCATTCTTGCTTTTGTTCTTAACTCATATATTTTTCTTTTTCAAAACCTTATATATATATGTATATATTATATATAATATTATATAATAATAATAATAACAATTGTTTATACAGGCGACTATGAATGGTAAATTATTAGGAAAGTTTTCTTTTTACATTATTTTTTACATTATCCCCCCTTCAGTATTTTATCTTACAAGAAAAAATATAATTTTGTGCGTTTATATAAAATAGAAGTTGGTTTTGAAAACTTTTGTAACAAATTATTGAATACATATCTCCGTGCACATATTATAAATTATTTAATGTTAGTTAGTTTAAAACAAAAGTTAGTTTAAAAATTCAAAAATTATTTATAGAAAATTTTTAATAATTATTAATAATATAGTTAAAAAGTAGAATTTGTAATTTTTAAAATAAATATTTTTAAAGTTTTTATTTCTTATATAAATAAAGATTATTTATATGACCTGCTGACCTATATAATATTTTGTAAGTGTATTGATAGAGTAACCTACATAAATTTCTAGAATCTATGTAAGTTTATCAGCTGAGTGACGTAAATTACTACTGCTACTATTATGTAGTTGATAGAACATGAAATGCTTCAAAAACATGATGAAACAGAAAACATGACAACAATTTCGATTGATTCAAAGTTTATTCGAAGCTTAAAGTTGTTGATATAGGTTACGAAATCTTGACAAATCGTTAATTTTTTGTCAGTTTTGTTGTTAAAGTGACAATGGACTCACGCTATAAAATCCGTGGTACTTTGTTTCGCACGTATTGTGGCTTCGAACATAATTCCAACCTTACAACGCATAAAAGTCATTTTTGTAACTTTCGTTGCAAAAGTTTAACAACGCTACATATTTATTTCTCGTTTAGTAACAAGATTTTATTTAAGGTATTTTATGTTTTAATATATTTTATTTGATACTGATTAGACTTCTTATACATTTGAATTATTCATTATAATTCGAAATCGAACTTGAATCCGAGCATTTACGTGATATACACTCACTACTTGCTTTCCGTTTTTTATAATTTTTTTTATGTATACATTTTATTGTTAAAGTGAAACATCTTAAAGTTAAAAATAAAAAAGCCGCGAATTTATATATACACACACATATATATTATATTACATGATGTTAAACTTTAAATACGATTTTATTATTAAATAATAAATAATACGAATAAGTAGTGAATTAATTTTTTTTATATTATTTCTTTTCTCTCATTCTCAGTATATCTATTATATATTGTAATGTTTTATATCAATGATACTACTTAAAAATAAATACTACTTGAAATACAATGATACTACTTGAAATAAAGTAATCAAAAAACTTGTAAGATATTGGATGCTTATCAAGTTTTTAAAATTTATCGAAACTTTTGAGACTTTGAAACGTATGGAGTTGATGATGAAGAATTTCAAAAATATTGGATTGGAATCAAATTCAAAGTTATGATACAAATTCGAAGGGATTCTACGTTTTCATCGCGAGTTCATTGTTGATAGAACAACGAAAGTAACAAAAGAATCAAGACTTATCAAGACTTTCATAACTTGGCATATTTCTAATCAGATTCGAAGTGATTTGAATTTGTCATCTAAATAAAAAAACAGATTTGAAACAATTCAAAGTATCTTAAATCTCATCTCTAGATATACAACTAAGATCTCTATATACTAATAATAAATGGAAATATATCAAAGGCAATATCCTTGGGATCAAAAGTCATGGAGACAAAACTTGAAACAAAAATCGTTTTAAAGGAAAAAGGAAAAAGATATTCTCTTTTTATCTTTTTATTTTGATACAGTCGACATTTGATTTCATATATGAATATCTCGTAAGTATAATATATTATCTACTGTTGAATGCATTTTTATTCGTTTCTATTCGATTATATTTGATTTCTAAATTTATATTACTCTTTTGTTATTATTTTAATTGTAATAACGATTTTTTTTTATAAAGAACAGGCAATATTTTATTTTTCTTTTTTCTACAGAGAATGTCATCATCTCCCCTTTTCATACCTTGGAGCAGATGCGGAAACTAGCCGGATCCAATCGTAACAAATTTTACGCTTTTTCTATATACTATTCTTTAACGTCCGGGAGCCAATGGTCGTTTGGCAACAGCGTTAAGACTTCAGATAAGAGCGTTTTTAAGAGTACCCTGGAAATCCCAATGGGGCCCTTTTTCACCACGCTTCCATCACCCTTTTTTAAACCCTCTTCTTTACAGGTCATTTTATACTACCGGGTATATAAACTAAGCGGTCTTGTTTCTTTTTTTTTTTTACCCTTCTTTGGAACATCTTTTGCGGCAATCCATACTGTCCTATATGTAAGAAACTATCATAGATGTAAGAAATTAAATTATAATATTAAATACTGTACATTTTTTTGGTCAATAAAGAGAATTTTTCTCATAATTATCAACGAGAATTCAACTAATACAAATGGTAATAGAGGTTTGGGTAGTGAGGAAATGGCGAGGACGTTTTGAATGTTGTATTTACTTTCGAGTATATTTCAGCCCTCTATACTTTAGCCCTCGATATTTCCCTTCTTTATTATTTTGCGCCGTCGAGCATACCGTCGAAGGGTGATTTTTATATTTATTATATTTGTATCGCTCGCGTATTATTGAATTCCAATAATCCGCAACGCCGGCGCAAAAGCCCGCTAAGAATGTATCTATGTATTGATGTGCGACGTTTGTACTACTCACGTATCCTTTTTTCCATATAACTTTTCCATTTTCGATAAGCCCAGTACGATGAGCGCTTCTTCTTTCTTCCATCTCCCTTTACTATCTAATCTTTGCGAACATTGATCCCCGTCTATGTCGTATACGTTTTTGATCTTTCAAAGATACGATTTATTTCCATTTATTTACCATTGACCCATCATTCTGAACGAAAAATAATGTGAAGTTCGATTATCTGGCCGTCTTCAATTTCCTTATCCAATATTAATTAAATAATATCCTTATTGAATTTTATTTTTATTCTTCCGAGGGCAGTATGACTACAAAAAAAAAAAAAAAAAAAAAAAAAAAAAAGAAATTACACTAATGTCATTATTTGCGTCGTATGAAAAAATTTATTAAATGAACGATCGCATCGATGATATTTTCAGAATCGTATTAAATAAATGAAATATGATAATTTAATTTTCTTCGATACATTACGAAGTAGATATAAATAAGAAGTGAACGGCAATTTTTGTTAGGCGGATCGAGACGAATGTATGTAAGTGATGACATAGGTAGTCCTTTCTCTAAACTATCGACCTGGTCCAAGGAATTATCGGGCTTGCCAACGAAAGTCCTCGAGTATGTTCCCAGACGAACTCTCTCTCTCTCCCTCCCTCCCTCCCTCCCTCCCTCTCCTTCCTATACTTTTCTTTTTTTTTCTTTTCCCCTATCCTCTCCACTCTCTTTCTACATGCTCATCGGCGTCCCTCTTCGAACGGGTATTCTTGCCAATCGACGAGCCCTCCTCTCAGTTTCTCTCCAAACAGTAGAAACATAGCACTGTGGATATATCCCGATGATATCTCTTTGTGAATAAATAAAAAAAAGAAAGAGCGAGAGAGAGAGAGAGAGAGAGAGAGAAAAAAAAAAGAAAAAGAGAAGAAACGGTCACGTGTGTATTCACTCCAAAAATATTCTCCCTCAGTCTGCTTTCCCTTTTCGTCAATTTTTCATACACTTTCACATTATCCACGAAGACGACAAGGTCTACGAGGTAGAAAGACGGACGTCTAGTCCGTTGTGAATTTAAAAGTGGAAGAAAAGGAAAATTTCAAATTTATTGAGCGGTTTCTCATCGATCGCAAGAACTTCTATTTTCAACGGATCATAAAATGCGGAGAAAGAGAAAAGAGAAAAACAGAGATAGATATGACTTCCCTTAACTATTTTTCGAGGTCACGTTCACGGGCACGAGTTCACAGCTCTATCGATCGTACCGAGTAAAATATATAGACACCGTACGCACTCTGGATGGGAACTTTGAAAAGAGACTTTCTTTCTCTTTCCCCTTTCTTCAATCTCTTTCACGCTATTCGTATTTCATGAATTTCGTGTTATAAAATCTCGTAATATCTTCCTAAATTTCAATTTATTTTATGAAAAGGATCTTTTTATATATATATTTATATAGATAAAAAAAAAAAAAATAAGAGAGAAAGAGGAAGAAAGAAATCTTCGGTTATTTCATAAATTTCGTTTACTCTCTCTTGTACATTCTTTCTCTCTTCATTTGTTGTTTATCACGGTCGGAAGAACTCCTTCGTTATGGCACATGCCCTTTTGAATTTATTTAACGAATAGCAAGTCACTTTTTTTTTTTTTTAAAGAATTACTTACACTTTTACACGAAGAAGAGAAATCTTTGAAAAAGTTGTGAATTCATTTTCTTTTTATGAATGTTTAATTATACGTATTGTTAACACGAGAAGTTTTATAATATTTCAAAAAATAATTGTTCGAAATAATGGTGTAAAATGTTCGTTCGTTCAACCATATAAAGTATTAACGATGATAATACTCGATGTTTTCAGATGGAGGATGAGGGTAATCACGGCAACGACGATACCAGATGCTTCATTTTATCGACTTTGGCAGCATTGCAGTGGTCCAGAGTCTCTTGCGTTCTTTGTCGTGCCGCCATGCTTGTCTTTGATCGGTATCCTTTGGTAGACGGCACTTTCTTTCTATCGCCACGACAACATTCTCCGGCTTGTGCTGAGGTAAAGTTAATAATAATTCTTATTATCAGAGAATCCATTAGGATACTTCTTGAAACGATTATATTGAATTATCAAAAAAATAATATCCGATTTTTCCAGTAAATAGTTTTTTTGTATTTTTTATGGTCTTTCATATCATTGTGTCTCTAACACATCAAACAGATTTATGCAATGACTGTTAAATGAATATTTAATCCAACTATAAAAAAAAGATAGAGGGAGGTTCAAGAATTCAAAGAATGAACTATGTTAGAAAAGATTCTTTGCATTCGTTGCAGGTAAAAGTCGAAGGTCGTACGCAATTCCTATCGGCCGTCTGCATGAGTTGCCTTGAAGGTAGCGGCAATGCTCCCGTGCGTTGTCGTTGCTGCACTCAACCATGGGATGGTTCCAGTTTGGTCCTTGGCACCATGTACAGCTATGACATATTTGCTGCTATGCCCTGTTGTACGGAACGTCTCAAGGTACGTATTCATTGATTTCTAAATCGAAAAGGTTTCAACAGTAAATAATACGTTTTATTCCAATTAGGTATTCGTAAATGTTTAATAATTTCATTATTAACATTAGAACTAATAAAAAACCGGCAAAATAATGGGATTACAAATTTCTCTTTTTACAATTATTAAAAATATAATTATTAAATTATATCAGCCAAATTGTGACAGATGTGATAAATATAGTTCTGATGTTAAAAAATGAAAGAAACGATAGAAAAATCGTTACGATAGTCGTCTCCGTCTCTCTGTTATAGTGCAACAGCTGCCAGAAGCCACTGATCTACCCCCATCAACGACTAAACTTTTACTCGGACTACAGCCGCGTGTTCGCCTGCCCGCACTGTAGAACCGTCGACGCCCACTTCGTGAAGCCTCTATCGGTCTGCTTTACCCGCGAGCAATTTCAACTCTATAGTCAGTGGCCGTAACCATTAGGGAAGTTAGCAAACCGGCGTCTAAGCAGTACGCCGTCCGACCCGAGCCCTCTCTTTTTCGACCCGTTGATTTCCTTGCTTCGGGCGACCTTGCTCTAGATATTATCTGCGAGATTATGACGTTATTCTTATCTCATTACGGCATTATTCTTTCTCTCTCTCTGTCTTCGAGACAACGTCCACAAAATAATTTACAGAACGCATCCGATTTCTCTCTTCCCGATCACAAGTCGATTTTATTCGTAACGAATCCTTCAAATTCTCTTACCCCTTGGAAATTATTCTTTTAGCAGATGATTTTGATCAATCGCTTTCACAATCATGATTGCGATCGCGTCGTTGCGATTGATCGAGATATCAAATTTTTTATTTTCTAACGCGAAAAGGGGTAGGTTTCTATCGGTACGTTCTTTTCAACATATTAGATCAAGAGCAAAGAATCGTCTGTTTTTTGGAAGAGGTATATACCAATTAAAGAGACATTCGATGCTTTTCTCTTGATTGGTAAATATAAATATACATATATAGGTAATAAGATAATAAGTGATAATAGATCGTGGCCGATGTATCGAGCGAGTGCATCTCATGACACCGATCACATATTTTTGTTTTAGTTTTTCTTTCTTTTTTTCCCCCGTTCATAAAGCTTGAATCTCATAGAATGAAGGATTAATTATGTTTAATCGCGCGGTTAAAAGAAGAGTTTTATTTATCAGTATTATTAGAATGATGGAGGAAAAGCGAGAGATGGTGGAATTATTGAGAATCATCGTCTCGATACGTGCCAACGTCTCAAACTTAAGTTTAGAGTAGCTTTGTTCACTTGGTAATTCACCGGTGTAATCGGAAAAATCTCTTAAAATCGTTTATTAGTCAAATCGTATTTCGCTGTTTCTTAAGTTAAATCTTTTTAGTGAAATAAGTTTCGTAGAGAATTACTCGTGTAACATTGTCTTTTTCACACAACTATCTTACGGACTACTAGTTTAAGGAAAGCGTTAAATTTAGTTTAGAAAAATCTACGTAAGATAAAGTGGGATTGGAAGGAAAGACAAAAAATGGGCTTTTAAACGCGCAAATTCGGTATTCAACAAAAACGAGAAAGAAAGATATAAAATTGACAAAGAATATCTCTGTTGATATTCTTTGAGGATATCCTGTGATCGGTGTTATGTTCTTTTCTTTGCTTCAAAATGAGGGAGAGAGAGAGAGAGAGAGAGAGAAAGAGAGAGAATCTATCGATTCCCATTGACATCGATCATCTTAGTCAAATTTTCTGCTTCGAAAGTAATCATAGGAACGAAAAAGAAAAGGTTATTCGACGACGTTAGGTGGAAAAAGTATAATGGGTTCAACATAAAAAGAAAAATGAAAAAAATCTAAAGGATGATGAAGGAAGAAAATAGAACAGAATAAAAGGGGTAAACAAAAAGGCTAAGGATTTTACTAAAAGGTCAAAAAAAATAAAAACTATTGTTTGTTACTTAGAGATAATCGAGAACGTTGTTTTTTTTTACATTTTATTAGTTTATATGTTTAAGGCGGCCATGTTGATTTTGTTTTAGGATCTACGACTCACGCGATGGGTTTATTAAATTTCGATTGGTCGAGTGTTCCTGCGCGGACTTTTCCTTCTCTCTCTCTCTCTCGCAAACTTTCGTATGAATTAGAAAAAAGATACGAGATAAAAGAATAAAATGACGGATAGATAATATTTGCGAGAGAGAGAGAGAGAGAGGGGGCGGGTTGGGGGAGGGAGAGACAGAGAGAGAGGGTGAGGGTGAGGGAAATTGATTAGAAATAAATTTTACCCTTTCGGTCGACAGCAATAAATTTTGAACTAAACTCTATCTAAAAAATTTAATTCTCTATCTTTTTTAATTTCGATCACGCGATGTATTATCTCTCATTATTTATTCGTACGAAATTCTGCGAGAAAAGCATAAGAGAGAACTGCTACGAAGAGTCCACGCGCGCTCGAAGTATAGTCAGTGTATAGATATATACGTTTTAAGAAAATGTGTGTGCGAGAAAAAGAGAGAAAGAGAGAGTGAGTCTGGGAATGCGTGTAGGTTTTAAGGTTTGATTGGATTGACATTACGAAGGAGAACCAAATTATAAGAAAGATAGAAGAGAAGCTTAAGATGACGAGTAAAGGATTGATAATGTAGAAAAGGAAGGATAAGAGAAAATGAGAGAAAGAGAGAAAAATACGAAAATAGGAAAAAAAAAAGAGATAGGAGCTAAACTTCTTTCTGGCGATGCTGGTCGTTGCTGTCCATCAATAGCGGCCGTCCCACAAACACAGACCGCCCACCATTTTTCCCAAGATAGTATAGTCGATCGTATATAATGTATCTTCTTTACGTTATTCGATTTTTAAAGTATACTTAATCAATGAATAATTAAACGCCGGGAAGAATTCTATATTTAGGAAAGATATAATAATAGTGTAGAGAGAGGGGGAGAGAAAGAGAGAGAAAGAGAGAGGAGATCCTCTTTGATTTCGATTGAAGAGGAAGGAGATGCAAGATGCAGGAGGATTCTTCTCTTCGTTTTGCAACCACAACACCTCGCCTCGGTCCTTTCTGTTTTCTTCTTAATTTTCGTTTAATTGATTGAACGAATCATAAATGATGGTCGAGGTGTGACGGTGCTGATGGTTTGCCTTTCTTCGTTAGAAAGACGTAAGATGTCTGAAAACGAATGCGTTCGAGCATCAAAGGGTTAACGCATTAAAGAGGTTGCATTTATCATTTTCTTTCTGCCGTAACTCCTTCGTAGACGAAAACGTAGAAAGGATACAGTCACTTCTTTTTATTCGCTTTTTTGCGAGAGAGAGAGAGAGAGAGAGAGAGAGAGAGAGAGAGAGAGAGAGAGAGAGGGGAGAGAGAAAGAGGGAGAAAGAGAGACCATTTCTCTCGTCAAAAAGCTAAATTTTCTCAGAGTGCCAAAACAAGAATTCCCGCTTTTTTTTATCCTTTATACAAGTTTTTTTTCCCATGCTCTCATTTTTTTTCCTCTCCTATAATCCGCTCCTCCCGATTCATATTCTATTTTCTATCTAAACCTGTGCAGTAGTTCTTTCCCTTTTCTTTTTTTTTTTTTTTCTTTTTTTTCCTATTGAAGTGGATAAATAAAAAAAGATGAAAAAAGAAAGGAAGATGAAAAACGAAAAGTCGTCAGCGAGTCGACAAAACTAGTATATTGCAGCTTATCCTTTTTGGGGGCGCTTTTTTTTAGAAAAAAAAGAAAAAAATAAAAAAAAAAATGAAAAGAAAATCGCGCCTCGCACTCCCTACCGTTTTCAATTTTTCGACCGACGAGATGATCCATTTCGTTGGCTGCCGCGAAGGCCGGTGCTGGCCTGCACGCGATAATTATCGACTATTTGCAGTTCCTATTGTCACGTCTCTTTTTAAACAAATATGAGAGATAGAAATAGAGATAAATAGAGAGAGATTGAGATAAATAGAGAGAAAGAAAGAGAGGGAGAGAGAGAGAGAGAGAAAAGAAGAGAAGAGAAGAGAAAAATAAGGGAAAGGAAGAGTAAAAAATAGATAGAGAATAATAAAAAGAGACGGACGATCGCTCTTCGTTCGAACGAGTTGTTTTCTTCATTTCGTTTAGTTCCTCGCAAAAATTTCAAGAAAATTTTACGGGAAGGTAGTAATGTAAGCTTGTGAGAATTAAATTGAGAAAGGAAGAGAGAGAAAGAGAGGGAGAGAAAGGAAGAGGAGAGAGAAACTAGGTGAAGATCTAAACTTACGTTTAATTCCCCTTTCAGGATATGTACACTTACTATCACGGTTTTTTTTTAGCACCTTTGCTACTTCGCCGTTGGTGCAGGCGTTTGCTTTTTTTTTTTTATTTTTTTATCTTTGGGCTATTTTCAAAACTTCATTAGATAATTTTTAAAAGAAACTGAAGAAAAGAGAGAGAAGGATCGGAAGAGACAAGATGAATAATAAAAGTCGGGGGAAAAAATGCGAGAGAAAATAAATTTTTGTAACACTCGTTTTGTGAGTCGCCGGTATCGACGTCAATTAACCGAGCGAGCGTTTCATATTTCGATGGTTTTATTCGTATATATATATATATATAAAAACATATATTATATGCATATATATATATAGTAAGAAACAAAGATAAAAACGGAGAGATAGACTCGTGGGTTTTTTGGTAGGTTCGCACTATTTTTGAATTCGCGTCGGTGTGACCTAATTATCGATATCCAGCAATCGCAAATTTTATATTAATATTACCGAATATTCTCTATACACTCGGGTACACTCATATATATGCATACACACATGCGGAAATATATTATCTCAGGAGTATGTTTGACTTATTTGGTAAGGGTGAAGAGTTGTGTCTTCAGGACGATGGATTATATAGAACAGGTTAAATGAGTGGTTGAATTATGAAAAGAGTTTAGAAGATAGTCATTATAAAAGCGAGGAAGAAAAACAATGCTAAAGTATGGAAATGAAGGTTTATATCATCGATAATTGTGAGTGGAATTTATTAAAATATATTGGATATTAATATATAGGATATAATAATGTATGTAAGGCATTATCGGTGTATATTTTCGTTTTGGATTTTCTATTTTTTTTTCTTCCTTCCTTTTTTTTTTTTTTTTTATTTTCTCTTCATCTTAATTATACCCAACGTCCAAAGATTTATTCGCATGCTCAATCGATCGATCGAACAGGAGGATAGAAAAGGGCAGGAAGTGTAGTTAAGAGGATAAAAATAGAATACAATCTTGTAGATGAATCGAGCAACGATCGACATTCTGGCGATTAGGAATTTTTATTTATCGTATAAAAGAAAACAATCGCAATAATGCGTAATCAATGTTTTTTTTTTTATTTTATTTAATTTTACTTAAATGAATTATTTTTTTGGGCCGCTTCATCATTAATACACCGCCAAAGTCCCAATCCAGATCCCTGATCGTCATTATAGGCGACATACAAAAATGGTCTATGCATACATATATTCGTATGAAAGCGATGTCGTGCATGCGTATATGCATATGTATGTCCATATGTATGTGTAATAATAGTAACAATAGAGGTAGATAACGATTTTAAAGAGTCGTAAATTTTTGTCTCTGTTTAGGACATTAAGGTTTCAGCTGTGCTAGACAACTATAGGTAGATATATATATGATACACGAATTAAAAATACAATACATATATACGTATTACTCACATCTAATGTGTACTTTCAGCGTGCGACGAATGCGATAAATAAATAAAAACACACGTAGGAAGTCAAGGATGTATCTCGCGCGACAAGTTAGCAGTTTTTCACTAATTTTTATTTCCTGTTCTTTGACGGAATGCTTTAAGAATATAATTGAAAATATACGTACGATATTTCAAGAGATAATAAATTCAGCGATTTTTACGCGCGATACAAATTTGCAGAAACACGGATAAATAAATACCATGAACACTCGTATAGGAGTTATTGGTTTTCTTTTGCTTTTCTTTTTTTTTTTATCAGATAGTCGCAATTTTCGTGGGTCAAAAAGTTCGAGCTTTTCTTTTGTTTTACGTTCGCAAAGTTTCGCATATCTCTACAAATATAAACATACAAACACAAGATATATAGAAAATATATATATATATATATATATATATATGTATATATATATAACTTTATTGTTAGTCCATTCGTTTTCTTCTTTTTAATAAGTTCTCCTTTGGGTAATACCGAGTCCGAGCGTTAATTAAAATAGAAGATATGAATGAATGAGCGTACCGAAAATATAAGAAATGTATCACAATGTCGTCCATTTTTATATAGAAATGGAATTGCGTACGACCTGTGTACATTAAATTTTTGGTACGCGAAACAGTGATACTTATTTGTGATCGATAATCGCGACGAAAGGTATAGGTAGAATTTTAAATTCGCCACCTTTCGCTTCGCCGTTTTGTTTTAATTTTTTTTTTCCGTTTCCTTTAATTTAGTACAGTTCTGTCGTTTATAGCTACTTCAAAATCCTTACGTTCTGCTTTTTTTTCTGTTTATTCAACGGATACGTTTGTGCACTAGCCTTTCTTTTTTATTTTTTCTTTTCGTTTGTAACTCGTTTCACCACAATATTTAATCCACTTGACATTAATTATTATTTTATTTAACATTAGCATCTTCCAAAACCTAACAAACATATTCAGTGGATCGTCTGTGATGGTGATAACTGAGTTGGGCCTACCATCATTTTATATTATACATACAGATAAATACACACACATTTACACACAAATACATGTAGATAGTCTCTAATATCGCGTAGGTTTTTGCATCGATATAAATATTAATGGTTTTTCTTCTATTATTATTACTGTTATCATTATGCATTATATACGTACAGAAGATGATATAGATTCATGTGCATATATTATAAATATATATACACATATATTACGAAGATACACACACGCATATGTACAGTATGTACGTACAACAGATATACAAACATAGCTCGTTTAGAAACAAGAAAACTAATTTTATCTAATTTAGACAAACTAAAAAAAGAATATATATGTATATATATATATATATATATATATATATATATATATATATTGCTGTTTCGTTTTTGTCAATATATGAAATCTACTCTTTGAAAGATGATTGTTCGAACGAGAGGAAAATTTTAAAGACCGGTCCAAAAGTCCGTTAAAAAGCTTGCAAAAGACTCGATCTTGATCATTTTGATCTTGTAATGATACGCACGCACCAGAGTCAAATTCTTTATATTTTGAAGGTATACCACGGACAATGACTTGTCTCTCTTTTCTCTCGAACAACAGTAAGAACCGATATGTGTTTTCAACACGATTCATCACGATGGTTTTCAACACGATTCATCACGAGGATTTCTCGCCTACGGCGACACTTATACACGCACGACTTTTCCATGTTTTCTCGGCGTTTCTCGGAAGATTAGCCAGAAGATAAGAAGAGATGAGGATGGAAAGAATTAAGAGAAAGGGGGGGAGGGGAGAAAGAAGAAGAAAGAGGAAAAAACGTCGAACCAAATCGCGAGTTCTTTGTACTCGTCCATATAATAACAATACATACATATATATAAGCATATATTATATATTATTTACGCAAAGTAAACTTTAACGAGAAACGTACAAAATGGAAAAGAAGGAAATGAAATAAGCGAACGCGCCTATTACTGATAACAAAGTTAAAGGAGGTGAAAGAGGATAAGTTAAAAGGAGAGAAATTAAAAAAATCTTCGGACGTGGATCACACGAATATTGGCAAGAAGGATCGACGAGAAAAGATTAGAGGAAATTCGTTTAACATCGGCTTTCCATTTTCTCGTCGATGCGATTTCGGTCACGCGTGTTCTACGTCGCGAGTCCCGATTAAGTTTCACAGATTATAAATTTCATGCCCTCCCTCGCATACGCAATTCCTTGAAAAACAAAAACCTCTTATCGAAGGAAATTAAAAGGGTAGGAGGAAAAGCCGGTTTTATCCGAGGAACCCGAGTGCTAGAATGAAAAAAACGTATTAAATGACAAAAGAAAAAAGAAAGAAAAAAGAAAAGAAACAAGAAGAAAATTATTCCTCTTATTTCCTCTAAATGGTGTAATTTAATAGTAATAATAATAATGAGATGAAACAATAATGATTATGATAATGTACATTACCCGATTATTGTTAATACTTAAACGTTAGAGCAAGAAAGAAATTTTATATCGATTGACGCTACTGGAGAGCGATTTTGTTTTTCCCTTTGCTCGCGAAGACGCTGAATCAGATGCGCCTTCGTCTCTCGAAGTTGCGTTCCGTAAGAAAAAGAACTTATCGCGATTAGAAGGAAGAAAACTAATACAAGGCAAAAATAGAGAGAGAGAGAGAGATAGAGAGAGAGAGAGAGAGAGAGAGAGAGAGAGAGAGAGAGAGAAAGAGAGAGGAGAGAGAGAAAGAGATATGTGTTTTGTTTGTAACAGATACGTTTAAAAATTGTATTAATCAATTTTATTAATGAGAAGACAGGGAGTACTACTTTGAAAGAAAGAGAGAGATAAGTGGAAGATAGATGGAAAACGTTGTTGGAGAGACAAGGATACCAGGCGTCGATGACAGAAATAGTACACACACCGGCTGTCTTTCACACTCTTACGGTTGAAAGAGTCCGAGCTCCAGGTTTGTTCTAACTTCTAAAAGCGTGTGCCGATCTGGAGAAATGAAAAGAAACGAAAAAAGCGGATAATTTCTGAGAAAGAAAAAGAAAGAGTCGTGATTTTCAGGAGCTCGGCCGTTTATCGAATCGATCGGATACGTTGGCTAAGGTACAAATGTACATAGAACATAATGTTGTTATTAACAATACTAATACATATACTTACATATACATACACAAACACAACACAGCCATATATGGTCGCTATTCGCTCGTGCGCGTTTTTCGAAGCGGATAAAAAGTTTAGATAAATGAAGATGGGAATAGAAAATTTATGATGATAATTTGTTAAAACTCGGCTCGAAGAGAAAGAGATATTTGATTGGATTGAAATAGATGAAGATGAGGAGTTGAGGAGATGAGGAGAAGAGGGAGAAAAAAAGAGATATTAGAAAAGTTTTGTTGTTAGAATGATCTCGTACGATTTTCGAAGGCGCGTAGGAGCGAGGATTATCGGACGAGAATATGAAAGAATATTGATTAATTATGGATCGGCGATCGTTCGTTCTCCATTTACATCCAATTGTCAGAAAAAAAGACATGTTGAGAAAAAAGATATTACACTACAAATCCGTTTTCGCTCTTCGCACTTGCACTACGCTCGGGACTTTATTCTACATGATATAACATATACATATATATAATAGTAATAGTATGACGATACGAAGGTATATATGTAAGTGCGCTAGAGCGCTAATTAAGATTTTACGCGTGAGCATATATTGATCCCCTCCTCCATACCCATACCCAAAACACTCCCCGTAGTTCTATGCAAACCCGAAAATACCAAAACCCGTTTATAATATACACTTCTCCTATTATTAGAAAAGGCTTTAAAAGGAACCATTAGTGTTTGAATGGCGTGTGAATGTGTTGCTACTCCCTTTTTGTTTCTGTACGGTGTTAGCGTTCATTCGTAATACTATATTATATCATATATATATTATATATATATATATATAAATATATATTGTACGTTTTAAATAGAATAGTATACGTTGTGTGTAAAGGTGTATCCAAGCGGCCATTTTTTTCTTATTAAATTCAATGAAATTAGAATGATATTGGTAGTAGTAATTTTAAACGTAGTCATTACGAACGAACAATTCGTTATGACAGTTTAAAAAAAAAAATTAAATTTTTCTTTTATGATTTTTAAATTAAAAAAAAATTTTTTTTTAATTTAGGGCCGTTGTGAGCGGTACATGATCGTGTCAGTATATAAATAGAAACCTTCAATGTATCTCGCGATAGCAACGACGATAAGAGAGATACATGTGTTTCTCGACGTATACGTCATATGCTATATGCACAAATACGACGTGTAAGACTGCAACGCGATGATTCGCTTTTTTTATAAGAAATTCGATTACGGCAAAACGTAAATTTATAAAATTAACACCAATCGCGTGAGGATTCTGACGGAGGGAAGCATAAGTAATATTCGACGGATATTCGACGAGTAAGATTTCCAGAATTACGATTCGGACTTTACCTTCTTTCGGAATTCTTCGGACGTATTAAGGAAAGAATTTTTTTAATAAATTATCTATGGTAACCATGATCGTTGAGCGCGACAAGTTTCTTTTTCTTTTTTTTTTTTTTTTAGGAGGCTAAATGTAACAAAGGCGCGGATCCGAAGGGTAGATTTTTAAAAGATTGTCTCGAAGAAGTAATGAGACCATGACGAGAGGAGAGGAAGAAGAAAAAGAGGCAATTAACACGAGGACTAAATTAAGAGTTTCGTAAAAATTTAGTAGATCGTAATTTGGAGCATTTTTATTCGGCTGTGTTTAATAAGGGGTGGGGATGGGGAATGGGAGAAGAAAAAGAAAAAAAGAAAGGACGAAACGGATAACTAAAAGAAAAAAAGAAAAAAAAAAAACAAAGCAAAATTTAGATTCGCTAAGATTTCAAAAATTTAGATGAATAATTTTTGTACCCTATTTTTTTAAGTGCGATCAACTTCCTAGTCGATCACGGTTATGGAAGGGAAGGGTCGAGAAAAAGTTTTTTGATACGCTAGACTTTATCGGATTTAAGGCGCCAATTAAGTTTAGTTTTTAAGTGCGCGTTACTGTAAGCTGTAGAATTTTTATATGTGTCAAAATAAAGTGGAAAAAAATGGAAATTGGCGATAAACGTAGATAATATTGATCCGAGATTCGCCTCCGCTTAGCCCGTTAGGTTTTTTTTACGGACAACAAAATTGAATGGAGACGATAAAAAAGAAAGAGAAATAGAAGATGAAAAATTATAGAGAAAATTTTGAATGAGATCGAGTCCAGCAAAGTAGCACCTTCCGAAAAAGCTTTGAAAGACGATCGAACATAAAAATTTCGATCGTTTTCGATAATTATCCTCGACGTTGATTACGATGACGACGACGACACGACGATTGATCGTGTTTTTATTTTTTTTTTTTTTTGGATCAATCAACTTTCCAATTTCTCACATACACACATACACACAGCGCATCGAATAAGGCCAAGGCGAATTCTCTTAATAGCCCCACACAACTCTTAAGTCTATAAGTAAGTTTATAATATAAAGGAATGAAATCATTCATTAGCTCTTCGTAAAGTAACTTAATCGTCTTTTTAAAATAAGTTGAAGAAAAAGAAAGGAGAAACCGATCGGACGGCAAGCATGGAAGCGATCTAAAAGAATCGTTGTAGAAAAAAACATGCATTTTGCAACGCAAAAGCAATTTAATCATGCTGGTAGTGCGGACCAAACGGGACAAATGCGGAAGAAATGTTTTTTAAAAGGAAAGAGAAACAGAGAGAAAAAAGTTAGAAGAAAATGATTCGAGCGAAAGGAAAAGAAAGATAAATAAATGGAAAGAAAAAAGAAGGAGTGAGGATGAAGAAAGAAAGAAAATAGATATAATAAATTGCCGCTCCATCGGAAATCAACTGTCTGAACTCGATCGTAGTGATATAAACTCGTAATAAGACGCGACTAGAGGCATTCGTAATTATCACGCGTTTGTAAACGACGAGCGGGCTAATTTCGAGAAGCCTATGTCGCGAAAGAGACCATAATTGGCTACGTGGTATTCGAAAGCGATACGCTAACGTTTAAGGATATTTCAAGCACACTTCTTAAATATATTCAACGTATTTCTAGCGTAAGAAGTCTATTTCCTTGCTTTTTTAGTTTGTTTTTTCTTAATAATTATTATGACACTTTGCTACTTCCAGTAGATAACGTATATTTTATCGGGTCAATGAAGAAGAGATGACTTGCCGACTTTTTCAAGAACGCCTCACGCATATCCGATGTATAAATTTTATCTTTTATCGTTTATGTCTTTGTTATAACAAAGAATAACAAATTTTGATATTACTTTCTTCTTCTACGTAGACATGCATATTTCGAAGGGCGGTTGTGACACGAATGATGGCTAACGAACGATATATAAAGATTATTTGATCATGGAAAAAGTGAATGGAGAGAAGGAAAGATAATTGAAAGAAAAAATACTTGCAATAATCTTCCCATGTCTTACTGCCCTGCTCCGGGATTCGTCAGTTTTGTTCGTTCTTTGAGACGAAAAGTCTTTGATCTCGGAAGGCGAGAGGCCAAATTTGGAGAAATGAATAAAGTATATAAGATGAGAAAATAATAAAGAAAAGATAAAAAAGAACTTTTCAAGATTTAGGTCGCGCAAAGTTGAAGCTTTTTCGATGGAATCTTTAGGTAGATCATGAAGATCGATTTTCATATTATTCCTAGCACATTAAAAGTAGAATTATTATATGCACGTACACATATACATATTATACATATACACAAGAAAACACACAGGAAAAAAAACGAGAGAGAAAAACAGAAACACATAGATGTACAGTTTGATATATTTGATTTTTTAACGAAATGTATCTATATATTCATACACATATATGCGTTAATAGTTTTTAAATCTCAGGTCGTGATCGCGTCGTGGAAAACGTGGCAGTGTCTTTTTTCCCCATATGCGATTCGTAAACTCGCATCGATCTTCGCACGTAACCATAGGAAACCTCTTTGTTCTCATGGTAAGGAAAAGCACAAGTAATAAGCCTATAAAAATCCCAATTTAGCTTGTACAAACGGAGTTTCCCTTGCGTTTGTCAATTTCGACAACTTTTTTTAGTCGAGAAAAGCGAAAGCGAATGGAAGAAAGAAATTTTCATTCGTCATATTGTGATGAAAAAAAAAAAAAAAAAAAGAGAAAAATAGGCACACCATAAAAATCTTCAGAGATAAAACGTAAGCGCGACTCCGTTTATTTAGTAGTCTCGAGTGAATGACGAACGAATGAGTGCGAATGAATTATCCTTAAAAAAAAAATCCTTTAAGCATTGCCGTATGGAAATCCATACAAAAAAAAAATCGTTTTCTTTTCCCCTTATTTCTTTTGTCCTTGTGGCTATTGATCTACGTGTTATTATTCATTGACCACTAGAACTTCTTCCGTTTTCTTTTCCTTTATTTTTTTTTTTTCTTTTTATGGAGTCACTTTCATCTCTTCCAGAGAGAGAGAGAGAAAGAGAGAGAGAAAGAGAGAGAGAGAAAGAGAGAGAGAGAGAGTGAGAGAGAGAGAGAAAGAGAGATATGGAGCGCACTTTAAGGTCGTGCAACCACGAAACTGCGAGTTTCATTTACAATATATTTCTGATATAGATACTATCAAAGAAAGAGGAAAAAAGAGAGTAATAGTATTATACAGTATGACCTCGTTTAACTTGATCATAAAGAATTATAAAGAATTTTTTTTGTTTCAAAAAGGAATTTGAATTTAACAAAATTGTTCACAAAAATTTATTGTAAATTTTAACACTAGAACTTTTACCACATCTATCAAGTTGATGAATATTTGAAAAAAAAAACAGTATCCGTCGTAATTATTAAAGTTAATATTATATTTTATTATAATTCCAATTAATATTATTTTAAAAATTATGATTTCGATAAATATAAAAGAAGACATGTTAAATCATTTAAGTAGTTTTAATGTTAAATGATTGGATTTGAATAGATCACCACTTTCTCTATATGGAAATATTTTGAATTAAATCTTATAAAGTATTTTGAACGTAGGTATTTTTTAAACGTTTCTATCATTGATGAAGTTAAAAAGAAACTCTGTTGGATTTAGCCGGCAATGATTACAAAGGACGTACATTTAATTTAATTGGCAGACGTCTCGAGCATTCGGCAAACATCGTATTCCTTCGGGTTGCATCGAAATGTAGTGGACAGAGAAAATTCCTTTTGTTGCGATCTCTCTTTATCTTAACAAAAAGGATAAAAAAGAGAAAAGAAAAAGATTTTTTGAATTTGAAATTAATCTTATTTTTGTGTTTCGTGGTTGAACGCGCATTCCAATTTGCGAACCTGACTGGCTTCTATCACGGGACATTTTATCAATGTCCTGAGTGTTTCTTCTGAGTCAACAAAAAAAAAAAATGAAAAAGGGAAAGGAAAAATCGGTATCGAAGAGAGATAAAAAAAGTAAAATGTTCCCAAGTTAGGAAGAAAAAAGCAGCGTGGCAGATGTGTCCTTCGATTACCTCCCCCACATAAGAGTACAAATTTTTCTAATGGATAATTATATCGAACGCTGACTAAAATATAAAAACGAAGAAGAAAGACTATGAGGCGAGAAAGAACAAAGTTTGAGAAATAAAATAATGGGAGAAGGAACGCAAAGATAACGGAAAAGTAATGAAAATTGAAAAAGAGGAATTATTATTATTAATTATTATTATCGAAGGAAAGAAAGGTGGAGCGAATGTCAAAGGTGCGATAGTGGATAGAAAGAAAGTGTCGAAAGAGATGGAATTAAATATTAGATTTAAAAAGGAAAGAAAAAAAATAAACGTTTAATGATGTTTTCCCTGGTGGTATAAAATAATAATATTATTATTATTAATAATAATAATAATAATATTAATAATAATAATAATAATAATAATAATAAACAATAATAATAAACAATAATAATAATTATAATAATAATGATGGTATAACGATATAAAAATTTTAGAAGTTTATTTATACGGTACGTGATTCGGCATCTTACCAAGACTACGCAAGGGCCATTGACGTTATATATTTATATCGTGGTACGATATTTATATTTACGTATAGATACAGGAACACATATGTGAAGACACAAAATCTATTCGTATGAAAAATAACAGTACTCGTGTCAAAGACTCGATTGCCGTTAAAGCAATTTGAGATGCGGCTGAGCAACGTTTTCTCGATATACCTCTTAAAAGAAGAAAAAAAAACAAAATAATAAACCAGATTTTAAAATTTAGGATAAAAAACTATATATGACGACGTTGGACAATGGCCGGATTCAATACAAAGTTTCGAAAAACTTATTTCGTGTTTATCGGGCTGTTCTGAAATACAAAATGGCGTAAGAAGAAAAATACAAAGAAAAAGCATATTAAAACGCATACTAGAAAGGCATATTGAAAGAGGAAATGAATTCGCGAGAAGTTTATATCGTAGTTATGTAATAAGATTTCGAAATATCGATGTAGTTAGAAATTCGGTGTGTTTAAATTGCATGATGAATCTAAATACGATAGGATGCGATATATTCGAGGGAAACCGATAATAATACTACTGCTACTACTATTATACTATTCTACCGCTACTGGTACTACTAATCTACTATTGATACTACTAATCTACTATTACTGCTACTATTATCACTTACTATTTATTACTTACTATTAACTATTATTACTATCGAAAAGTTATCTCTTTCTAGCTACCCCTTTTTCACTTTAATATGCTGACCATCAGCCGATCGTGAGTCGATTATAAAAGATGTCCGTTTGTGTCAAAAAAGAAACTATAGGAACTAACTTATGGCGAAAAAGGATGTTACGATATTTCGATTTTTAAGAATTCGGAGCATTGTCAAGAAACGAAAAGTGAATGTGTTGGAGTTCCCTCGATTTTTATATAAACTTTTATTTTCGATATATTGACGTTGAAAAAAATAAGAAAAAAAAAAAAAAAAAAAAAAAAAAAAAAAAAAAAAAAAAAAAAAGATGGAGTTTCGTTTACGGCCTAGATGACAGCGCGAAAATCTCGTCGCCAATATATTTCCGAATTTTGGGAAATCGATAATCGTAAAAAATCACTTCGTATACACGATATACATATTTAATGAAATAAACGAAATATCGAATCAACCATTACTGCCATGTAACAAGACTCGAGAAACATAATCAATTTCAGCCTAATAATAATAACAATAACAACAATAATAACAACAACAACAATAATAATAATAATAGTAATCACTTTTCTCCGAAATATTACATTTTTATATACATTTTTGATATTGAAACTTTATACAATTTCATGCCAATTATTTAAACACATATTTCGAAAAATATTTCGTTGTTCCGATGCCTTTTTAGACTGATCTCTTGTCACGAGTAATAATCGAAAAATAGAAATTTTACAAAATAGAAAAATCTATATAAATTGCTTATATGAAAAAATAAAAAATAAATAATTTACGATACCGACGGCAATGTCCGTGCAACGAATTTCATGAGAAAATGATTACAACATTTTTCTGCATTTTTTTTTTGTTTTCTATCTTCTCTTTGTATTCTGTGGTAAGAACTACTTTGTATGATCGACAACGACGAATTCATTTATTTATATCGATTAATAATGATAATAATAATAATAATTAAAAAATTGTAATATTAGTAATAACGATTAGAGTAATAATGACAACATAGTAATAATAATTGTAATAGGGATAAAAGATCATCCAATGAATGACGTTAAAGATAGTGAGTAACACCAAGGATTAAAACCAACAATCGGAGGGGAATAAAGACGTCGAAAAAAATATACGCGCGTCCAGACACCGTCGACTCAGTTGACTCCATATTCGAATCTTCAAGAATTCCTTGATCATTCGAATATCCGTACGTTTTGTCTCGAGGGCTGGGTGGACGGTCAACGGTTGTCGACAAAAAAGTGAGAGAGATACGTATACACATTATTAATAATAATATACACTATGGAAATATATACATATATACTATATATATATTTTTGATATAAATCTATTCAAAAGTGCTCGACAAAAAAAGAAGATGAGTGGAAGAGAGCTACGTAAAAATGTAAATAGAAAGTATAACAACAATAATAAAAAAAAGAACAGGTGTGTTTTTTTTTTAATAATATTCGTCGTTGTCGACCAAAAGAGAGGAGAAACGTGGCTGCTTTATGAGTGACATCCGTATATCAAAATTTAGAGAGAAATTTTCTAATCGCATGGAGAGAATGTCTATAAGCCTCCTTCAATCGACGTATATGTCTTTATCATATACGTTTGTGTGAAAAATTTGGATTTTTATTTGGAATTGAAAGAAATGTTCGGAAAAACTCGTTTTGCGGCCCGTTGAAACTTTCCTACAAAGTTTTCATTCTTATCGTTTAAAGACAGTCAATGGCTCGCAGTTGTTTTAACTCTACACTATTGAATTTTTATCAATTCTTTTATAATTCGTTTAAATGCCAAAGAGCACGGAGAACATGACACATTTAGGGTGGGAATTTTCAAATATATATATCAACCATCGGGACACGTTGATGGATTCAAAAATTAATTCAAAGATTCCATCATTCGTATCTTCACTTTCATATCTCGTTTATATTCACATAGCTAGTAATCGAACAAGACCGATTTCACGTTTATCTGAAAAGTTTTTTAACAAAGGTCTTCAACGGACAGTCTCTTGTAAGTTATGATCGACCAACGAAACATCGTTCGATCGTATCAATAAGAACGGAAGGAAAAAATAAAAAAAATAAAAATAAAAAAAAAAGAAAAACGAAATAACAAAGTAAAATCGTATCAAGCACGAATATCGATAATGAAAGAGAAAAGAATATTTCTAGTAAAAATAGTAATACACATACGGGCGGCGCTATAATGTTAGTAGAGAGCCTGCTGGACAACACTTATTATTATCATTCTGTCGTTAGAGTATAAGAGTTGATATTTAATGATTCGTATTGTAATTGTATGCGACTATATTTGTTTGGTTGGCTTGAGGCGAGAGTCTAACTCGGGTTATTAGATACTACGCTGTACCTTTAGCTGGCGGGTTCCCTGTCACGGGCGAAGATCGCGTGTCAACAATGAAATCCTTTTATATAATGATAGAGCGTTTCCTCAAGACGATTGTTCGTCGCTTTTCATCAAGAAGAAATACAATAATAATATAGTAATTGCTTTGAAAAAATTCTAACGATCTCAATTGTTGTATATATATATATATATATATATATATATATATATATATATATATATATATATATAAATCAATAAAGCCGAAAAGGATGGCTTTGGATTTTAATTGATTTTTCTTTTTTTTTATACATTATATATGTGTATATATATATATATATATATATATATATATATATATATATATATTGTTATGACTAGAAAAATAATTTAAAGAAAAATTTATTTCATTTCATTTAATTAAACAAAAATATTTTTTGTTTTAATTCGAGCACGATCAAAGTTCGTCGTGAGAAACCAAAGATAAAAGATAAAAACAGTCGAAGTTATCTCTTAGTGATGTAGATTTTTCTGAATCGCGTCAAAGAACGCGCATCGTCGAGTTGCGTGTTATCCTAATGATAAAAGTAATAGTGGATGTAACTGCTTATATGGCCAATTTTTCGACAAAGCGAGGCATTATTTCGGGATCGATGGATTGACGCTGGGCGTACTAATCGATTCCGAAATAGTTTCTCTGTAATTTGAATCTGGAAGCGTATCATAGGAAAAAAAAGAAACAGTAAAAAAATATGTAAGAGAGAAAAGTTACGCGTTTTACAAATTATGGCACGCTCTCGACGATGACGCCTAGTCGAGCAGAGATATGAAAGATCCAAAAGAAAAATGAAAAGAAAAGAGAAAGAGTTAGTTTAAAAAGCCGGTGGACCCCGCCAGCGACATTGAGGGGAAGATAGACGCACGAAGAAAAAAAGAAGCAGAAAGTAACGAGGGATGATTTTACGGTTGAGAAAATAAAAAAATAAAAAAAAAAAAAAAAACAAAAAAGATATATTATTAAATAAAATAAGCTCTGTCGAGATCGAAAGTTAGTGCTTAAGAGAAAAAGAAAAATTACACGATAGCCGTTTTTTCGAGGAGGAAGATGAAGAGAAGAAAAAAGAGACAAAAAATTTCAATGACTTATGTATGTTATATATCGAGATACATGCGAGAATACGTAAAATCTCGAAGAAATGGCACGAATTTCGAATACCTTACGAAGAGTTCGCGACGACGACGACGATGACAACGATAAGAATGATGAGAATAATAATTATAGTTTCTATGGTTATGAAGGAAAAAGAAAAAGATATAAATGGAAAACACGGCGTCTTCGTCGCGAAGCATCAGTTTGCATTATATTAAATTAATGAATTAATTATATAAATCGACGCTCGTCTAAAGAGCAGAGAGGACACGGTCAATATGGTCCTGACAGTTTTTTTTATTTCATACTTAGCGCGTCCTTCTTCGATTGACTCGATCAGACGGCCGGCCCCGCATGTATATTTTATATTATTTTTCTTTTTTCTTTTTATTTTTTTTCTCCTTTCCCTTTTCCGGCACGTTTGCGAGCTATGCGCGATCGAGAAAAATCGAAAGGGACGGGAGAAGTACTCACTCTTAACACATTTACACGTACTACTAATTATAAGCATTAAACGCATTACGGATACGCGCCTAGATTTAATTAGAGGACGATAAGACATGGAAGGAATAAAAGGGCGAATAAAGGAAAAGAATGATTCGATATGTAAGAGACAGCAATTTTTAAAAAAGAAAACTTGTAAGACGCGATTTAATATATATACACACACACACAGATAGATATATATATAGAGCGTGTGAGGATCGAGCTTTATATCGCTTTTATATGTTTTAGTAACAAAAGAAGAATACCTACCTTTAAAGATTTAAACGACAACAACAACAAAAATATTACAACTAAAAACCTATGCAAACCTACTATGTAATTGACTATTCTCTATATGCAAAACACATAAACATAATATATATAAATAAATAAATAAATAAATATAGATATATATATTATAATGATTATATATTATGATTATTACACTATGAGAATACGAGTATGATGATTTTAAGGAAAGTATACATATTATATTAATAAACATTTTTTAATACCATTATTCTAAAGATAATGGTGAAATGAAATGAAATGCAGAAAAAAACTGTACGATGTCTTTTATTTAATTTTGCGACCACCATAACCAAATCCAATTTCTCCATAATTATAAATATTATTCACATCCTTTCTTCATCCAAATTGATTTCTTACTATACAAATATTAAAATAACATTAATTATACATGATGATGTATCTACATATACAAAATTATATTCAAGGTGAGTACAAAGTTCGAAATCTTCTATCTAGTTTATTTTCCATTTGTGCTTTACATAATTACGTATTGCAAATTGACTTTATATAGACATTGCAGATTATTGTAAATACAATTAATTATAATAAAACAGATACAACGAAATATAATTAACCATAAAGAGGATGAACGATGTAACAATAATGAGTCACAAGGAAACAAATATGAACATCTTTCGTCAGAACGAAAATCAAGAAACAAGATGAGACGAGGGAGATTTACGGTAAGCCCGAAGGAAAGCAACGAGGCAAGTAGACAGGCAGAAGGATTCTCTCTCGGTTGTTTCCATTGTTATAAATTACTATAGCCTAGAACGAACTTCTCAATGTTCGGTTTCTTGTAGTTAACTAAATATGAGGAATTTAAGCAGCATGTTGTAGCGGATAAGAGGAAAGGAAATAAAAGTTCTTTGAGATTTTGCTTGTACCAAGATTTTGCATTGGCTCGATTCGAGATTAATGGAGAAATTGATTTTTTGGGTTATTATTCTGGTAGTCGAGAGCATGATTATTGACGAGCTTTCGTTTTTGCCATATATGTAAAATAATTCGTAAAGAGGTGTGCAACTTTCAATAACCTAAATTTTATGAATTTATATTATAATTGTTTTATAATCCTATAGATTAGTTTTATATAGATACATTTTTATTAGATTGCTCTTTAATACACGAATGCATATGAAATTCTATTATTTATTTTTTTCATACCGAAAAAAAGTTTCCGCATCGCAACCTTTGCGTTTTCGAGCAGTCGAGCGTGGTGGAATATACGAGAATGATAGACAGGACATAATGGCGATAAGGGTGAGGGACAGGTCGCCCATTTTTAGAAGGGAGGACTCATCCAGCATCCAAGGGTCCATTGACAAATTTGCTGGCGAGCAAAAAGGCTGCTTGGTATGCATCCCTCGTTCGGTCCATCGGAAGACTGCCTTGAGCTACTATCGTATCTTTCCTACCTTTTATCTCTATGTAGGTGTATGTACACGAGTGTTTTATCAATACATTGACAACTATATTTGTAAAAGATCGTTTACAATTACATTTTAATTTTTTGTGAATAGCAAAACACAGATGTTTTTTATGCTTTTATTATAATCATGGTAATAATTCTTTTTTAATTTCATTCGTTCTCTCTCTCTCTCTCTCTCTCTCTCTCTCTCTCTCTCTCTCTTTCTCTCTTGCTCTCGCTCTCCACTCTTTCTCTTACTATGTTTCTTCGCACGAAAACTAATTCTAATTCGAGGTAAATGTGCAAACTTTGAGGAAAAGAAGAGAGAAGGCTGCTCACAGTTAGTCACGAATAATTTATTTTCACGACAGCCGCGTAAACGCTTACGCACACCCAAGAAAAGGTCAGGCCATTGCTTCCTCCATTCCTCTTTCTACTTCTTACTCCCTCTTCCTCCCTCGCCCTTTTTCATTTTCTCTCTCTCTCTCTCTCTCTCTCTCTCTCTCTCTCTCTCTCTCATTACTGTTAGGATCATATAGAATTTGTACTGGAAATTTTTCGTCGAGAGTTGCCCGTAGGAGTGGTCGAGGGTCGGCCTTTCGAGCAGCACTAGAAACTCGGACAATACGAGTTCGATTTTGTCTAGACTCTTGAGTTTCTCTCCTGCAATTTCTTCCCTCTTTTCCTTCTACTTTTCTACCTCTTCCTTCGACTCCTCGTTATCTCTAGATGGTTCAAGTGTCGCCGAGAGAGCAAGGTGTCTCGACTCATTGTCAGTTCGCCTCGTACGTTGACTTCATCTTCGAAGAAGGTCGTTTCTTCGAAGCAACCTCCTTCGTATGGTCAAACGCTCTTTCTTTATTTATCGAGATACCATGGATCTTCGGAGAAAGTGGGTCGTGGTTTTGCCGAGCCGAAGTAAAATACGAGGACAAGCTCCTCGTAGTCGATTTAATAATTTAGCGTGTTCGCTTTTACTCCGATGTCCTACGATGTTTCGGACACGTAAGTCGATTTTCTTCTTTGATGGCTTCACTGTTCTTTTTGATCGCTTTCGTATTAAATTCCACGTCCACTCTGTCTATTCCCATCCTTATAAATTTTTCCGAATCAAAAAAATCTATTTTTGTTGAATTTAATGTCATTCTATCATTTACGTATGTACGTACAGTTTTCAAAAGGAACGATCGATTTCGTCGAAGTGTTCTTGCGTGTATAATTTAGTTAGTTAAATTCCTGTCCTTAAATTGCTTCAATTCGATATTCATCGTTCGTAGAGAGAAAGAGAGGGAGGGGTAGACGTTTGAAATACGTGGAAGGTTCGGCTAGAGAACTCGAAGGATATTATAGAGAAGAGATCGAAATTAGATTTGGAACGGGCTGACGGGTCGACCCCTTCGAT